TTTTCATTTACGCAGAAGCACATCCTCACAAGACTTTTTTAGAGTATAAAAAGGAAATAGATACACTATATTTTTTTGATAATTTCCTGTTTTTTTTTCTCTTCACCAAAATAATATAAAGCATAATTCCCTTAAAAAAATAGTAATATCGTAGCTTTAAACGGAAAGGATAACAGACTAAAAGAGTCATGTCGATCTGATATTTCATTCCCTATAATTATTTTTCCAACTTTTTGGACTAATTATTTTCTTGATTAAATCTCGGATCTCTAAACAATTGCAATTTTTGAGGAATCGTCAATATTTGAATAAATGCAACGAACTATCACTTCATTTAGTTTATTTACTTACACAAAATTATTTGTTTATATGTGCAACGCAAAACGACAATAAATATCGACAAATTGGGATTATTTCAGTAAATAATCGAAAAAGTAAATAAGGTTTGATCATTTGCATAACATAACGGTTATTGATAAAGTGATACAACTTTTGTAAGCGATTTATATGTTGTATCACTCTTAAATATTTATTGGTAAAAATGTTAGGCCAATGATGCGATTTATTTATTACTTGGAAAATTGTTTTTTCGCAGTATCTATGTAACGTTGAATGAACATGTTATATAATAACAATAATTTTATGCCGAACAGTCGATTTTCTTTGAGGGAATATTTTTATTGTTTTTATTGAAAACTGCGTCAATTTTGAACTACGAGGTCACGTTTTGTAAATTTGCACCTTCATAACTTTCCATAATTTGTTGTAACGATTCCCAACATTACTCCGTCCACCGTGTTTCGATTACTCTGCTAATTGGACCGTTTCGGACACAATTGAATAAAAGATGACATTTGGTTCACAAAGAACTTCGCCGAGAGTTAAAACAGTCTTCCCCCAGTTCAATGATAGATTGGGGAGCCGAGTTTTCGTTTAAACATTTAAAACTTTTGAATAAAGGCTAAATAATCTAATGCAAGTTCAATACGATCTTGATAATTGCATGCAGATCATTAATGGACGTGTTTGCTTAATAGTGCTCGGCGTGATCAAACAATATTCCACTTTTGAAAAGAAATTGAAAAACTTGATAATTTATAGAGTAGTGATTCTTTCAGAATGAAGTAACTTTACCGTCTTTGCTTATTAAGTTTTTGCTCAATTTCAAAGTAAGGAAGAAAAACGAGAAGGGCATCGGGGATTGAGAAAGGAACAAACCATATACGACCATCCTGAAAAAGATAATTTTCAGTATTTTCAAATGATGTATGGAAAGCCTAGGTACAGCAGCTAATAAAGCATAAGAATTTTTTTTTCAATATGTATTAATAATACCCATATTTGTTGAACTGTCTTCATATAGTCGGGAATGGTTAGAGATGAAAAGTGTTGGATTAGAGGGTTGGGATGAAGGTCCAGGGTTTTATGGAGGACGGATGTATCGACTTATTCTTCGAGAACAAATTGGACTTTTAAAGTTTGTGTGGGTAGTAAATTTGGATACGAAATTTGGAGCCTGAGCAATGATTCCAAGAATGAAGAACTCGAGTATCCTAATTCTTAGGTAGTTGGAACGCTTGGTTGGGTCCCATAATTCAATAAAACCGCCTCGAGTATTGGGATTCAAAACTTTTTCAATTTAAATACCCAAACAGGATCGGACATTGGCAATTAGTAGACTACTACTTATACATACTTATAATTAATTGGGGGAAAGGGGACAAGACGGAGGGAGAGTGTTGGGATTTGGTTTCGTTGAGTCTAGTCCTCCATTATCCACCAAAGGATCTTAAAGATTTCTTACTACTGGGTCTGAGTTTGCTGAAAGACTGGCGCGATACAAATATCTGTATGAATACTGAAAAAAGGATGGGATCGAGTATGTTGCCTTGCGGAACACCCATTTCGGCATAGAAAGGGGACAAGGATATTCCAATTCGTACTTGCATGTACCTATTGGTCAAATAGGATTTTAGGATGAGATTATCTGCGATGTTGACTACCACCTTATGGTACTGACAGTAGATTGTCGCCTGTACCCGACTTAATGGAATGACTACCGGCTTTCGTGGGATTTATGTGTTCTAGAGCGAGCTTATGAAGGATTTTGTCACACTAAAGTCTTCAATTTCAAATATGCATAAATAAATAGTAAAGTGGAGCTAAATTAATATAAATAAGTGTCTGGTTGGATAGAAACTCTTCAGGGCTCATTGAAAGGTAGCTCTTACTTTATCAGCAGATCCTGCAGATTCTGAAAGGCTAACTATCAAATAATACAACGGTATCAAAATTGCAAACTGAAATCCCAAGTCATTACAGAAAACTGCCACCATGACCTTGAAAATGGGATCTTAGAAATAATCCACGACGCCGCATTAGCACACCATCAAAGAGTACAAGAGCACGTCAATGTTGGCGTAGAAGATCTAGACGAACATCCTAGACGACTGGAACGATTCAAGCTAAATTACTAATATGACCAAATATTAATAAAGTCCCCCACCTTTGTGGAATGGGGGAAAATAATAATGAAACTATCATTGAATGAATCAACGAACAATTTGTTAATAGGGAGATAATTATTTAAAGAAGAAAAAAATGCTTCACAACGTGCAAACTTAAACACAGCGAACAGCATCAATGCTTTAATGATTGAGGCCAAGAGTCAATGCCCATGAGGCAATTCGGCGAGACCGCGCTGACCACGGCAGAAAATAGCCCGTCAGGTTATATCGAACAATTCTGTTTAAATGCAAATCCGTCAGTTCGTAGCTTAGATTGGCAATTGAATTATTTCCTTCCGTGTAATGCAGGCCTCAAGTCGCTGTTTTATTTTTTCCACAGAAGAAAGCTTAAACAGCGCTATCGCGGAATACTGCAAGCCCGCATAGTCCCTGCATAGCATTCCGCCGCAAATTATTAAGTTTTGAGATTATAAGACAGAATATTTCTTTTAACGTATGCAATTCGTTGCGATGGATTCTGCTGAAACTAGAAGCTTTTTGAATTTAACCTAAAAAATCCATTATTCGACAGATTTAAATAAAAAGTCGCTGTATATAAAGTAGTTTGTATTTAATTCTACACAATAAATTATTAAAAAATTAAGGAATCTGTCAACAAAATAAACGGGTTTTTTAATGAGATTCCACTTGCGAACAGATCACTGGGCCGACATCTTAATATCATATTACCAGCAGTAATATTGATGTTGCAAAAAAATAAGAAATGATGTAGATTAACGGTAAAATTACAAAACACAACAATCCCACAATAATTAACGTCCATTATTAAATTACTTCGATATTTACTAACACATATTAGCTTTAGTAACCATAAATCATGTTAATAATAAACTAGAATCTCGCAATTAGACTATATGAAAAAATGGTATTCTTACCTGTTTCCAAATACAAAATGTAATCAGATGTGCTTCGAGGTAATGAAATTAATCTCTGAGTAAAGTACTTTTGCTACTTTTTGTGCACTATATCATCTATATTGTTTCTTTTATACATCTTTACTTTTTATTATTACTTTAAACAGATAATATATGCATATAAGAAACTCGACAAGGGTTTTTGTTTATTATTATATTCAAAAATACTTAAAATAAAAATATAATTATTTACTTTGAAGGAATATTTAATGCAAAATTATTGTGTATTTTTAATGAATGTATTAATCAATGTTCTGTTTTCTATTTTTAGATAAAAATGTAATATTTTCCTAATCAGTAAACTTTATTATTATTTATTACTGGCCATGAAAACCCAACAAAAAAATGTATTTGACTAAAGACAAACGTCAAACATGGCTTTGCGTTTAAAATATCATAATTTTTTTCGTCAAATTAACCCTTTTACTTGAAAGTAGGATATCTCCATTTCAAATTAACCTGTTTCAAATTAACCCTTTTTAACTTTAAGTTAACAGATTTTAATTTCACATTCACCCCTTTTAACTACAAATTAACACTATTTAATTTAAAAACAATTTTTTATTTAAAACATTGAAAAGACTATAAGCATGCAAAGAAAACTTAATTATTTAAGATTTTTCTTTAAATATAAAATTAGAAGTCAGTATAAAAATTAATCACAGTTAAAATTAAAAGTTATATGAAATTAATTATAAAAATAACGTGTGGTGATTAGTGACCGTTAATCGATAATCATTCAGAAATCGTGACCGAATCTGACGATTTCTGAATAATTATAAAAATAATGGATGTTTCTTTAATTTGAGGATTTTATTTGAAATATAAAACTGGTTCTTATCTAAAATAGTATATAAAAATAAATTAGAATTAACATTTAAATTTATGTATATAAAATTTAAAATACAAACAAAAAATATTCTTTTTAATTTGAGATTTTTTTCAAAATATGAAATTGGTTTTAAATAAAATATCACATGAAAATTATTTCCAAATAAAATTCAAAGCTTATACAAAATTAAATGTAATAAGAAAGTAGATTTTTTCCAAATATAAAATTGGTTTGCATATAAATTTGTTTTTCTATTTAATTGTATATAACTTTTAATTAATTAGCATATGATTTTTAAGAGAACAATTATACTTAAAAGTTATTAAATAAATGACATAAGAATCCTATATTTTTATATATAATTATTGTAATTGTAATTAATTTCTTACATTTTTAACACATCACACCACATCAAAAAGATGCATACAATGTTAATTTCTTATAGTTTTTAACAGGCAATTTATTAATTTATTAAAAATTACAAATAACATCAAAAACAAAGTAATATTAAATTAAAATTAATTAATTGGTTAATTCGAAGTTAACAGGGTTAATTTGAAAAAAAGCCATAAAAGTAAACATAGAATTATGTTATATATAAATATAATATAATAGTAATTTACAATTTACCCGGCTATTGCGAAGGGAGTATTAAAAATAGTCGGAAACTATTTCTTTACTAACAAAACACTAACCGTTATGCAAAAATAGTTTTATTGTACTTACAGCGTCATGTAGCCGATCCTTGAAATGTGTTGTACAACTGAAAACAAAACCAAACAAAGAATTATATTAATATTTAATTTTGTTAAAATTGTAATTATTCAAAGCTTATTTGTTCGATGAAATCGAATTTTACATCAAAAATCTACTGATTGATGGCCGAAAAGATTAGCGTTTTATTGATAAATGTTACTAGAAAAATCTAAATTAGGGCAATTGTAAATCGTTGTCGCATAGGTCGAGGGAAAATAAATGATCCGATTCCGTCAAAAGCAGATATATCGAGTGGCGAGCCAAACGCTTTATCATTGTTGAAGGATCACTTATTCGTAGAGAAATCTATACCGCTTTTACGTTGCTCTTTGTGTCCCTTTTCACAAAAGGTTCTGTAGGTGAACAATATTCGCTATCAAGACAGCAAGAAAAATATCCCGGGCTAAAACAGTCATCGGCGTTAATCGAAACGGACGTCCCCTTAGGTGTAAGAAACTCTCGTAATAATTAAGATGTAAAGTTGTGGGCTCGTAACTATTTTAGTACCCAGGCTAAGGCGGAGTGTGTGCTAGGAGCGCATCGTCGGCCCTTTTAGTGCTCTAGGCTTAACTATTAATAAAAGCTGAGTTTAATGAACAAAGTTACGACCTGGCTCTCTTTCAAGGCTTCGTGAGAATTTCCGAGAGGGCCGTTTCGCGGAAAGATTGAGTAGGCCAAAAACAAAACAAAAACGAGAGAGAAGGGAAAGAATATATTCGGGAGGAAAATTCAATCAGAGCTTTTTGGGCCGGCCGGGAAAACTGTTAATCGAAACCGTTTCCTGTTTTCTGCGGTTGGAGGAACGATGCTCACCTCGATCGGTTCGGGTCGAAAGGGTTCACTATTCCCCAAGAATATATGAACAACTTCTGAATTCAGAAGCTCTCTGCTTGTACCAGCAATCAAAACTTTTCTCTCCTCGCGGCATAAAAATATGAAAATAGAAAAACTCTTATCGAAAGAAATCGAGACAATTTTAAAACAACTCACTCAACAGAAATATATCAAACCACAATTGTTGGTAGTAAATTAATACGTCCAATTAATTAATCTTTTTGTGTAAGGTTTTGGTTGAAATGAAAAAGTTAGTCTCACGAGCGGTATTCGAACCCACGACCTTCGGCTCACCACTTGAACTGCGAGGAAATGGAACGGGTTCAACCACGTCCTGAGGAATATCTGTGTACTCTGGAAGTTTGACGTCTATGCTTGTGGTGATTGTAGGTTTTCTGGCTTTTCTGTAGGTGACAACCTGACGCACAAACGAGAGACTAGAATGTTAGGATATATACATAGGACATAGGATATATACAAAAATAATGATACAGTTAACAGTTAAAGACGCTCAAATGTCTTAAAAATATGCATGAAAATCTAGAAAAGGTTAAAAACCGCATAGGGCCAGCGATGACCTTGTCAGCCCATATACCTCCCACATCATATTATATGTAGAGAAAATTGAGAAGTCAAATTCATTATCAGTCCCCCCCCCAGTAAAAAAGCTCAGCCCTCATACCTTCTTAATATAAATTATCAATCAAAAACCCCTTTCCCAAATCTAAAATAACTTATCATCTCCCTACGCTCATCAGCTTGGTGCCACTACTTGGCAAAATCATTAAAAGCTCCAATGTCATAATATCCATCAATCCATCTTCAGGTGGCTTCATTCTACGCTTCGACAGTGCCACAAATTTGTAGATATCATCGGAATGTGCCGTATGCTTTTTCTAGATGTGAGCCACACTTCTGGAGTGAAGAATCTTTATTATATTATTCGTACTAAAATTATACCTGTCCGATTGGTTCTTTCAACTATGAAACGAGTGCTGCGCGAGGCAGCATCCATGATTCTCTTTTTAGTGTACACTGTATGTATTCGTAAAATGTGTTATCTATTGCAAGTATGCATGCTATGTCATATCCAGGTGCTCTCCTCTACTTCGCATTAGACCATCCAAACAGATTTTAAAATCAAATTTGTCCTTAAAACCTCAAGAACGGTATAACGCTGAATCTTCATCCCGTCCTCCTAGTCCAGCACCTTGATTCATGTTTCTTTAACCGAAATATTTGTCTGTATCAATTAATATGCGATGCAGTAGATATTATTGTGCCCGGTTGGTGAGATTTCATTTCCTAGAGTCAGCGAATATAGTGGTTTAAATTACAATATTTATACCAGTTTTATTACGAGTACAATTGAAGTTTGTCATTAAATACTCCCTTGCTTTCCAGTTATTATTACATTTAAAATTGGTTGGTACATTATTTAAAGGGAATGACAGTCTTCATGTCGTTAAGAGAGGATTGTCTTTTAATCTCGCCAAATTTGTAGAATAAATTTGTTTGGATGAAGCCCGCTCTTAAAAGTGGTTAATGGAGGTTGATTCGGTTTCCCTTCCCCCCTGGCCGCTCCAAAGCCGTATTTATTATACAGCATACACTTTTCATCGTCATTAATCTTATAAGAAATGGATCGTTAACTTGGCATCTTGAAAGCAAACGGAAATGCGGTCTGACGACTAAGGAATAAAGCTGAGATACACATGTTGCCTTAAATGTAAACTATTTAAAACAGTTTATCGTAAACAAACAAGTGCTTAAAGTTTTATGAGTCACAAAGGTCAAGCAAGCTATCTGTTTTAGAGTTCAATTATTATTCAATTAGACCAATGTATCGTTACATTGGTGATGAAGGGAATCAATATACAATTAAATAGTGGAGTTGGTTCCTTTCGTCTTGGTTTTTCTTTTACTGACAGTTTTCGGTGTTTAGACTCTCAAGCATTTTCTCTTCGCGCTATCTTCACAAGGGTTTAATCTTCTCTAATTCCATGAATTGTAGGTATTGTGGATTAAAATCAACCAATCTTCTTTTAAGTGTACAAGTTTTTGAAATATAAAATAATTTGGCTCTTATAAAAAACATCATATGAATATGAATTACAATTAACAATAAAAAATATGTAAAATTAAACATTAAAATAAAGATTTAGAAAAACATTTTCTTTATCGTACCAAAGTTCTTTAAAAAATCAAAAACATTGGGAATTCTTTGAAATGTAACTGTAAAACTTTTGAATTTGAAAATTATATAAAGGGTTTTCCATTTAAATAGAGCTCAAAAAATTGCTTAACATAGCATATTTCAGTTTGGTTAAATTTTTAAATCATTTTATTGAAAAGAGAAAACTTTGTTTTAATGTGTGGTATTTAGTGACCATTTATTATTACTTATTTAGAAATCGAGAGATTCGGTCTAGCGTAATGTAGGTTTACGAAAACATTTTCTTTATCGTGCCACGTTTCGATCTGTATTGAGATCATCTTCAGGGTCTGAGATTTATAAACATTGTTTCAATTGTACAAACACATGTAAGATGTGAAAATTAATTTATTACAGTTACAGTTATGCAATTTTAGGTTTAATCAAAGTATTTGTTCTCACTAAAAATGTGTGTTTTCTTTGTAGATGTGTCATGGTTGTGTGTCGTGTGGAGAGTGTTAATATAATAAGATAGTTAATATAATATATAAAATATTAATATCTCTCTATATTTCTATACTGAGTGTATCATTGTATTTTTTGTATCGTTTATTTTTAAAATTAGAACGATGAATTGTTCAACGGTGTCAAAAATCTGATAATTAAATGTCCTAATTTACTCATATTATATTTAGTGGTCTCATTGATCAAATTACTCCTTTCAATTAATTAATCTTTTTATGTAAGGTCTTGGTTGAAATAAAAAAGGTAGTGTCACGAGCGAGATTCGAACCAACGACCTTCGGCTCAATACGCCGCTACTCTACCACTTGAGCTATCGTGACTTCGATCCACTTGAACATTAACCTCCTATCTCAACCCCACCTTAAAATTCGAAAGGTGAGATGGCAGGTTAGTGTCCGAGTGGATCGAAGTCAAGTGGTACAGCAGCTGCGTATTAGCCGAAGGTCGTGGGTTCGAATTCCGCTCGTGACACCGATTTTTTTATCTCAACCAATACCTTATAAATTACATTCATTCTAATAAATTAACGTAAACACAACATCCGATACAAATATGGAATTCTGGTCATATTTAGTCCTGGTCATCAGAGTACTCGATATTCCTAAGGTCGGGGTCAACCAATCGCTTGGTTTCACGCTAATAAATTACATCCATTCCAATAAATTAACCTAAACAGAACACAGACACAACAGAATATTTAAAAATCATTGTAGACTTGAGGTACGCGAACAGCTGCCGTGCCTCAAGGGTACTCAAAGGTCCGATGATATGCCAAAATATTATCTATGAAAAATGTGAATCTTCTATACTTGCATAACGGGCATCTAAACTGTCGCTTTCTCTATAGAATAGTGCAAAAGTTTGATAATAATTAAAAATTTTAAAGAACATTTTTTAACATAGGACTTTGCATAATAGTCCTTATTTTAAAAAGTAAGCACGGCCATAATTGGTTGTTTATTGAAATATTATTTGCTTATCTGGTTACCCCTATTTAAAAAAAAAATAGTAAGAAATGGAAAAAATATAGCCAATTTTGTTTTATAGGAATAATTTAAAAAAATAAAATATTGACTGTCATTTGGTCAACTATGGCATGCCTTTTTTGGCATGATGTCAGGCGAGTTTTGTCAACTGGAATAGAAGAACGTTGACAAATCTGCGGTCAATATTCAAAACTATTTATTTTATCGTGATCCTTATAAACAACAAACACGGTAATTTTTTATCTTTTCTTTATTTTTTATAGGAAATATGTGGAATGGTCAAATAAAGGAAGCGGGAAATATATAGTACCGTACTTGTTGCAATAAAATCGTCGGTGAACATTTTGAATAAACGTGCCTATCGTTCTCATGTTGAGTTATATACATCAAAACAATGTTATGATCCCTCTCATAGAATGTAAAAATAACAAGCGTACCCGTGTAATTCATTCAGACATTTTTAAAGGAATGTTGATCAAGCGTGGGTTACAAATGGGGAGCAGAAGC